AAAAAAAAAAAAAAAAGAAGAGATAGAAGGAAAAGGAAAAAAAAAAGAGCACCAAGAGAAGAGTGCATAGAAAGTGGGAAGTATTGCCCTGGGTTCTTCTCTGATGGCTAACAAAGTGCCCTGCACGGCGGGACTTCTGTGTGGTGACCTTCACACAAAAATAAACTCTTTTTCTGCTTCTTCCCCAGAGTCACTAGATTTGCTGCCTTGATGGCTGTCTTTACTGGAGGACCACTGCTTTTGATCTTGATACTCCTGGGCCTGCTGGCCCCAGCTTCTCCTTGAAACTGAAACAGAAAGAAAAGGAAGTTATCACTGATTAACAAGGTAATACCAGTGACCTCACCAGTAATGGGATGAGATGCAGGGCCCTGAAGAGTGAGGGGGTTCAGGATGAACTGTCTCAGAAACAACTTACCAATTATATTTAGATTCCAGACAGAAATTACACCAACGAAATGGAAAAAATTAAAACAACATATAAAACTCCAGTCTACGAGAGGGTGAGCCTCTAATAGATACAGTTGATAATCTGAGGGTGAAGACCCCAGAAGGTGAGGATGAAGGGAGGGAGTGAAGGGAGATGTCAGGAAGGAGAAGCGCTCCGAAGCTAATGTGCAGGTGACCTCCTGTCACAGTTGCCCCCTTGTGCATTAGAGAGAACAGGGCAAACAGCTTTGAGGAGTCACTGCTGGACAGATGTTCCCTTTGGTGCCTCTGCAGGACATTTAGGTTTGACTGAGATTTTCTACTTTGGGACAAGATATAAGGAAAGGTCCCAGCCATCTTCGTCAGACTTTTCTGTCTCACAGAAAACCTGTTTCACTCTCTAGATGAATAGTTTAAAGTCTTGTGAAAATGAATTAATACCGCCTATGGTCTATTCAATCTTTTTGGAAGTAGCCTCCAGGAAGAACTGCCATTATCGTTGCCTATTCTGATTACATATAAACATGAAGGATTCGCTGAGACTTTACAAAGCAATGATGAAGAATATTTGCTGGAACTGAGCCTTTGTCATGTTCCATGTCAGGCACTTTCTGTTTTTATTATTGCTATTCTTCACTACTATCCTGGAAGATAGGTTTTGTAATACCTGGAATCAAATTTAAATTACGTCTCTCTTCAAAGCTTATGTTTTTCCCAACTAGATCACAGCTGTAATGCCACTATACCTTGGGAAAAGGTTCTGGTGCCATATACCAAAGTAATAAGGGTTATTATTACTTACCAAGTCTATTATATAGACACACCACTTAAGCTAAAAATACCAAACCCATGCACTCTATTTGGCTTGAAAGAAGAGTGCAGCTGCCTCATCACTCAGAAATTTCCAGGTCCTGGAAAAGCAATAGGATTCAGTAGATGCTTCTGATCATTTTAATTTTATCATTATGCTAAAGAACTCATCTTGCCAGGAACTAGCTATTTAAATGTTTAATCCACTAAAAAGTGTTTCAGGAAGTAAAAGCTAATGGAACCTAATAGTAAAAGTGCAAACATCATAAAGTACTTCTCTTGCCAATCTGGCTATCAGGGCTGATTCTGATCTCTAGACAATAAAAATTTAAATGTTTAGTTAATTATATTAACTTGAAATTACTGCAAATTCTGAAAAGAATAAACCTTTCAAATCTCATAATGAAGGTAAGTAATTAAAAAAAAATTTGACTTCTTTTATCCAACAGTTTTTATTTATTTATTTATTTTTGGGGTGGGGAGGAAGCAATGAATAAATATCATAACTGATTTTTATTTTTTAGAATAGAGTAAAAAAATTGAATGTACTCATTTGATTGGTTCTTTGAAAGTTGTTTACAAGCCAGGTTCTGGGAAAAAGGTACATAATTTTCTATAGTTCGCCCTTTATCACAAAACTGATTTGATAGTAATACAGAGTCCTTTAAAATTCTCAACTTTTGTGTGTACTATGAACAGGAGGAAGTAGATTTATAATGACATCATCTGAAAGACACCTTTCTAATAATTTAACCTCAAAATAGAGCATTATTAGCAAAATCTGACAGAAAATTTTATTCATTCCATTTTAAAACCAAAATAAGCTGCTCTTCTGTATCAAGCGACTCAAGAATAAATTTCCAAAACTACAGGTTCAAGGGAAGAGATATGGTGATACATTGCTCATTTGTCTTCAGAGCAAACATATTTGCTCCAGTTCCCAGATTTAAAAAGCTTTTCAACCTTCTCAATATTTTAGCTTCTTGGAAATCCCAGGTCTAATTAATGTTATGTGATATGACATCTGAGTACTCTCTAAAAATGGAGAAATTCATGCAATCGAAAATGTTTATGTCATAGATAAAAACTGAGATAACCCTGGACCAGTGTGATTGTAGCAGGGCTGGTTGACATTCAGAGAAATCCAACACAGGAATCTTCCCACAAAAAGCAGCCTGTCCTTTAGTCTCTAGCTAAGTGACACTGGGCTTCTGAGTCCTCGGGCTGGGGGATGGGAGGATATAGCAAACATTAACAAGTTACCAGGCTGGGTTCTGGGATGGTGGCATAGACTCAGTACTCATCATGAAAGCAACAATTTAATTCATCCAATCCAGTCACTGAGAGGAATAATAACATGTCCTTTCTAGAGGGTTGCCAAAGTAGATCACTATGGCAATGACACTATTTAAAAATTCATTCCCAAAATATTCATTTTCATTGACTAAACTCTATCATATGTGAGTGTGAATGTGATAAGGAGACTCGTACCAGGCTGACATTTTCCTTAGTATCATAGGCAGCACCATTCTCGGATAGGAAAACTGAGGCATAGTGAGGTTAAGGAACTAAGGTCACACAACTAACACAGTTAAGTTTGGAAACCAAAGCACTCTGTCTCCCAGCCTCCTACCTTCCTGTTAATCCAGATCACCAGTTACAAACAACTTTCTAGGGGGAATGTTGTTTGTCAAGTTTGTTTTTCAGTCTTTAGGCAGCATCTAATTAGGATGCTAATTACAATGATATTGAAGTAGGTTTGGTAAGGATCCCATTACTGGACAGCCTAAATAAGATTACGTTTGCTTGAAACTTCAAACTTCAGAAATTATTTAAAAATATTTATAAAATTCAGACTTTTTACTAATTCAGATGAACCTTCTTGGCAGCCTGACTTGATGTTTTTTATACAGAGTAAAAAAAAAAATCAAATTGTTTTCGTAACACTTATTCAAGGCAAGTATTCATACAGTTAAAGTCCTGGAGGGTCTCTATACATGTGTCTATATACATATTTATTACTACTCCATATACCATTAAAACTATAAGATACCTGAGTAAGTAAACAGGTAATTTATTCAACACAAACACTTCAAATATATTCACATCCTGTTTATAGTGGTGATAATTGGCACAGAGGCTCAAACATTCTTGAAGATGATTTGACTTTGCATATATATGCAAATATATATGCTAATTTTAAAGCTTCTGAAACATGCATATAAACTCAGAATTAGAGATTCATATGAAAATTTGAGCTTTTCTCCATTTTAAGCTCCACTGACATCCTCATTTTCCAGAAGAAAAACATTATGACCTTAAAATAATATTCGGTAGTCAGCCCTGATTTTTTACACCTTCTGGCAAGAGCCAAAAATGCCAACTAACTGTTATATTTCTTTTGAAGAACTCATATAGGGGTAGTAGAATCCAGATCTGGTGAAAAAGTAGACTAGAGCACTGGATTACAGATTATAAGCCATAGCCAAATATTTGTTGGCTATATTTTGAATTATGGAAGAAGCAAGTGATACATAAAAACAAACTCAGAATTAGATGGCCTATATAAATAGGATACATTACAGTTCATACAAAGCCAAAATCAACTATTTTCTTCAAGAAAACGAAACATGTTCTAATGAAAACATCACAGAGTAGAATTAATTGTAGAGGGAAATGATATGAAATTCAAAAGATGCAGTTACAAATATTTCTAGTAAAAGAAAGCATTTTACCTGTCAAATCAATATTGAAATAACCACACAATTAAAAAATGATAATCATGATAAAAATATGCAGTGTGCTTTGAGAACAATAGCCTCTGTTTCATCGATACGTGATTGAGGAAAATCAGAGAGCTGTTTTAGGATAAATAGAGCTGCTTTTTAAAGATTTAAGGGAAAGTACACAGAGCTACTTTTAAAAGATTTAAAGGAAAATACAGACAATGGTTTAATAAAATTGCTCTGCTAAGTGCTATTTGTTAACCAGAAACTATTCAGAAAGCAGACTGCTATGCAGTTCTCAAGGGTGAAACAGTCAAGTGCTAAAAATTGGCACTAACAAAATAAAATTATGTTACATGTAAAATTTAATTGAAGCTCCTGTAAAATTACTTTTTTTGTTCTGGTATCTCAAAAAATCAAGGCAGAAAAGCAAATACAAGGTGGTCCAATTTAATTCCATCGAAATTTGACAATAGCCCATCACAATCAGAATTTCAAGCAAAGAGGTCATGAGAAAATCTAAGACAGACACAGAATTTCTTGCCTTTTTAAGATTTGTCTTATCTCTGTCTTCATCTTCTTTTTACTCTAACTCAAGGCCTTTTAGGATAATTGGTGTGGCACCGGGAGGTGGCCTCTTTTGTGTAAAAAGCGCTTTTAATGGCCTAATGAAGACAGAACTTGCATTGCATCAAGGGTGCTTTGTTAATAACCAAGTAACATAAGTCAACTGATATAATAGTTCAAATGTAAATTTCCCAAATCTAGAAATATCTATGTGACCTTCAGTGTCTTAATTCAAAGAAGCAATGCAGAGATAGAGCTTCTGATTTAATATATTCTAAGAAGTAACTCTGCCTCTCTTCAGAAAATAAAGGTCTTAGGTGTTCATTTATATAATTTTTCTATAACTTGAAGATAACAGGTTTCCTTGAAAATATCAGAGAAAAATCTCTTGTAGAGAGAAGAGTTACTGTAATCACCTTTTTATAAACATGTCTACCACACAAGAAATCCTTTACAAGTGAAGGAGCAAGCCAGTGGGTTTTCTCTAGGCAGGTGCTACCTGGCCCAAACAATATGGTCTATCCATACGTGACCTTCAGACTTCGTTTTATGCTATGGGTCTTGGCCTAAACTCCACCCCATCATCTGGTTAGTGTGCACCTGACCAGCATGCAAGTCAGGGCACATGGCTCATCCAACAGTGCTGGCGAAGAAGGCTGGCTCCAAATACTGCTGCTGGTGGAAGTTGGTAGATGCTTTTTTATTGTTTTTGTTTTTAAATCTATGTCAAAGAGAGTCCTCAAAACAATAGGTCCTACTTGAGGAATCATAATTCATTGAGTTGTGAAGCTGTAAGAAGGGTCAAAGAGGTTTATTATCAATAATAAAGTGTGCTCAAGTTTGAGAATGGTTTATCCTTTTGCAAAAGAAGTTATTCCTATAATAAGGTCACTCCCATTGACTTGCCTTCTGGGGTACTTTCTCAGGAGGCAGTGAAGGATGTGGAATTATAGCTAGAAAGCTGTGCCATGCTCTTCATCCCTAGAGCCAATTTACTTATATGTTAACCTCTGATAAAGTTTTACAAGAGTAATCAGTCACAAAAAAGAAAATTCCTCTCTGAATCAGCAATGATTGTTCTAAAATTTCTCACTGGAGATTAAAGCTGATTTGAAATGTCTCCTTTTTGTCTCTTGGGACAGTCCTCACCTGAACAGAACATTACAGAATTTACTACAGTGTCAAATGAAAGACGTCATAGAGTAACTGCTGTGAAATAGAATAAATTGTTCTTAGAGTTTAAAAAGTTAACTGACATTTCTCACTAAAAGGTCATAAAATGTCAATTGAAAGATCACGTATATGACACAAGGTCTTCATTTAGTAGCTGGCTTTTTATTGATTCTTTTCTAAAATAATGTAAAGTGTTAAGCCAATATTCCCTAAAGGTACAAAGTGTGTTACTCTAAGAATTTCTGATCCAATCCTAGTTTAAATCTAATAGAACAGAGAGAAAAAGGAAGAGGATAGGAGACGTGACGCCACATAGAAAAATAAACCGACATAATCGCAAAAATTTGAAAGGACACATCACTATACTCCAAGATAACTTGATCTTCCTCATAAGAATTCCTAATTTAAAATTTTAAGTGAAAAACTTTTTGCCTCAAATGGAAGGACCATCCTGTTGCCATTTAGGAAAAAAAAATCAGTAGTATGAATTGAATTATCCTAGTCCCAGGACAGAAGTTACTCGGTTAAAGTTTGTTTTTGTTAGTGCCAGTTCATAAGCTTTGGGGCAGTGAGGGATGATAATCAAAGGCTCTAACCATTTGTTGGCTGCGACTTCCTGTGCCCAACTGCATTCACCTCTTCTTCTGCAATGGTGGAGTACAGTTTTGAAGATCTTTTCTCTTTACTGGAAGGCTTGTCACTGTCATGATCTGAATGTCTTTTGTAATAATCTCCTCTTTGCACTACTGAGGAAAAGGGATTCATTTTACCCTTTATATTAGCAAATACATCAATGTATTGACATTAATATTAAACATTAATATTAAACATTAAAAATTAAAAATTAAATATCAGCTTACCCACCCCACTTAGGATTCAAGGAACCTATAGTGCTGGTCCTGAACAGATGCACCATCGTCTACAGAATTCAACAGCCAACATTATGGAAATATCGTGCAAAATGAGGTGAGCTCTGAATCTGCTCCCTAAAGGTACTAACAAAAAGGCCCCAACATTACCATTTTGATTCCAGGATGGATTAATGAAGATCACATTCACTATGGAATAATCCCCCAAAATCACAGCAGTTTACCTGTTTCAGAAATTAGTTGGGCACGCTAGTCCAAAGGGAGGCACAGAACAAGGAAATGAAGTAACCAGCATGAATAATGTACAAGAAAATAGGAGCACATCATGAACACTTTTTTAAAGAAAAAGAAAGACAGGGTTCACAAGTGGCTCTCATTCCTGGGCCAGCTTAGTGGGCAAGCTGATAAATGAACTGAAGTCAAAATCTTACCACCTCGGCCATTAGAAATGTATATTTTCATTCTAATTTCAGTACCAAGTGATACCAGAATAATTCTGTGATTAACTTATTCTAGATCCCAGGTGGGAAAGTGTTGGTTTCCACAGCTCTATACTCCCTACCATCTACCTGGGAAGTTGGAGGCATGTACCATTCATAATGTTTGCTTTTATGGGGAGGGAGGAAGGGAATCAAACACTTACCTCTCAAGCTTTGAAATGTCTAAGGAGCAACTCTCATTTTTAACTTCCGGTGGAGAGAACCCACCCATGACATTCTCAAAACGACTAAGGACATGCTAGTGGTGGCATCTAGTATGTCACCCACTTTGTGAACTATACAGGCTCTGTACACACATTCTTACTCATGAGGCTGGTGGGTTATTCTAGGCCTTGTTTGAATCATATAGGCATCTAGAAAATATCACTTCAAAAATGTTAATTATTATTCAACCTTGACCTTTTCTTTTTAATCCTTCCATATTTCAATTGCTTTTGAAAAGATGAGCATTCTTAATTAACCACTTCCCCCACCTACACACACCCATGATTCCTTCAGACATTTTCAAAGTTTCCTTAGAAATGAAGCGAAAAAGTCAGCAGTTACAGAAGGAAAATGAGCATAGGTACAGGGGAGGGGCCGTGTGGCATGACCAGGGCTGTCAGGGACACTTGCTGGCTCAAGCCACTCTGATCCAGCACCACCAAAGGCTCTTCTTTCTATACCAAGTCTTCCAAAGGCTGTGGCTATAACACTGACCCTGTGTTTATTTACCATGTATAATACGACTGTACATGCCAGCCACCTTTTACGGCTTTGGTTTCTCTGTGTGACAGAAGTGGTTTATCAGTTTTGGTCAAAATCCCACCTTCTTTTGTTTTTGGCCAACAGGTGGGTAAAGCTTGTACCCACCAAAAAAATCTGCAGAATAGAGATGAGAAAGCAGGCAGTGTCATTTCTTTCATTCGATTCCCGAATCACTAAGACAGCACTCAGAACTACTTCCTAATGATTTCAAAACTACCATCAATAAAAGAAAACTGGCCAATGTAGGAAGCTGTCAGAGGCAAGAGGTCAAAAAATTCTAAAGCATCAAGCAAATCTGAAATAAAACAAAGCAACCCCAACCCACAATAAGAGCCATCTGGACACGATGACTTGTGTGGCTCTGGAATTTCTTTACAGATGGGGCTTAAAGACAGTAATCACATTATACTTTATGAAAGACAGAACCCAAGAGTTAACTGTGCATTTAATGGAATAAGGGAGGTGGGCAAAAGAGATGGGGGGGTGGGGTGCAGAAGCCACTCAAACACGCTTCCCTTCCACTCACTGCCGCTCCTGATCTGACTGGGAGATGGCATACACGCCCCAGGACTATCTTGCTCTGCTTCTAACCCACAAATTAGAAGGAGCAAACTGGTACAATGATGCTCTGAGCGTGTCCATGCAGATGCCACCTTCTAGGAATGAGCAACATCTGACTTCATGACTGAGCAAGCACAGTGAGCCCCAAGGTCATTCGGGCCTGGGTGGACTTCTCCTGAACCACAGCAACGATCATTCACAACCAGGGGAAGCTTTTCTTGGAAATAATGGGACCTAGAAACGTACAAGTAGCATCAAATGAGTCACCAAATAATATTTAAGGCACTCCTGATATGCTAGGAGTCAGTGTAGGCGCATCTAATGGTGACTGTTACAAAGACATGAGACCTCTGGGCTGGCGTCTCAGTTATGCTTTTCGTTCTTTGTGTGTGGTCCTCTATTAAGATCCAATGTCATCGCCAATGTTGAATCAAGCTTCTGAACCAAGAAACTGCTCTGGTTCCAAAATTTAACCCAAGGGGTACTGACTTAAACAAAATCTAAGATATTAGTTAAGTCCAGGATAGATTCCTTTCTCTTAAAATCACTCTCCTTGGGGAGCACTAACTTGGAGAAAGACATTTCTTACCTTCCTGGGAAAATGTCCTGGGGCTGGGCTGGGGGCTACCCTGGCCTTCTTTCTCCTTGTCCGAAGGAACTTTTTTCAGGACGGGCGGAAGAAGAGCAACTTTAGGGGAACTGTGGCCAGGTGGAGAATCTGGGACGTCCTCTGTGGAGACATAAACACACAAGTTAAATTGTTCCATAAACTGGATTCCTCAAACATAAGCTGGGTTATTCCAATACAAGTGACTAATAATTTTTAAAAAGCATCATAGGATTTTTCTGGCCAAAAACTAGTTTCATGTTTTTGCTCCGGTAACTAATAAAATCCACAAACAATAGAGAGAAAAATAATGAAAACAAAATGAAGGTTAGATCTCGCATAGATGTAAATCTACCTTGCAGACACAGAATTCCAATGAACTGATATTTGAAAATTACACTGTAGGTGAACTAATGTTCCTTCTGCCTCAAACTCAAAGACTGTGGTTTTCATAAAATATGTAAAATTTAGTCCATAGCCATGCTACCCTGAACAAGCCCGATCCTGTCTGATCTCAGAAGCTAAGCCGGGTCGGGCCTGGTTAGTACTTGGATGGGAGACCACCTAGGAAGACCAGGTGCTGCAAGTGTAAAAAATAAAAAAATAAGGGATTGTAAACTGACAAGGTCTTTGCAATCTGTGAGGTCAACCAAGAGTTGCCTGGCTAAAAAAAAAAAAAAACAGAGAGGAAGTACAAATATAGAAAGAAAAAAAAAAAGCAGGTCAAGATGATCAGAGAGTCAAAGTTCAGCCAGGGACTAACCATTGCTGTGTCCCAGATGGATGACAGCATTATAAGGGTTCTGGGTCATGACATGGAGCAGTCCAGCCCGAGCATTCAGAGCTGCCACAATCTTCCCCACTGACACATCCAGGTAGGTCAGAAACCCTGTTTCTGACTGTGTGTGAGAGAGAGGGAGGGAGGGAGGGAGGGAGGGAGGGAGGAAAATATGTAAGATTTATAACTCATTGCCTTTACCCATTGTCAAATCTACTAAGGTGGTCACCATATATACATACACATATTATTTGTGCATGCTGGTGCTTGTACTCACACACACATACTGACATCACTAAGAGTAACTTGGAATAATGGAGTTTTAGAACCAAAAAGAACTTTGGTGACCGCTGTACAAATGAACAAATCAAAAGACCTGCTAAGCTAAAAAGGTGGCAAAATAGAACTATAACTCTAAGTCTCTTAATTCTGAAGGCTGTGCTGTTTCACTCTAATTGAAAGGATTTACGGAATTGCCTTTCTTTCTCTGCTCTGTTACCAGCAAGGTAATTCGTGTTTTGGCACGTGTGTGTGTGTGTGTGTGTGCGCGCGCACGCGTGTGTGTAGAAGACAACCTTCAGCCAGGTCCTCTTCAGCCTCATACTTCCAGTTCAAGTCTATGTGCTTCACTACAGAAGCAGGGATGTGTCAAGAAACTGAAAATAACTCTACCTACCTCGACAATCTCTCAGAACTGTGGGGAGGAAATGAGATGGTGTATTTGAAAATGCCTGCTGACTTCTCGAGTTCTATAATTATACACTAGCTTATTAACATAACTGTCAATATACTAAGTTCTAAAAACACATTTAGCAAATAAACTGAAATGCTTCTTGTAATAGAATATTAGGGATCCAGCTAGTTTTATACCTGGCATTAGCGTCTGAGTAGCCAAATACTCTACACATTAGATGAGGTTCACTTTACAAGAGTCATTTCCTTACTGTGGACTAGATACACACCTAGATGACATAAAATGCTTGCCTGCTTTCGAGTAGTCATCATTTAAATTTTTTTTAAAAAAATCATTTATTTGCCTTCTTTCTCCCCACTTTCTGTTATGAAGCTATTTTGTATGCATCAGGAAATTTTGGGGTTCTCTATCACGACAAACTCTGGTTTACAAAAAGGTGTGAGTAGAATTAGGAATACGTCATCTGCTTCAAGAGTTAGTTGCTTGAGGTGATCTCAGTATACCCCTTTCTTTGTGGTTCCTCCTTGGAGACTGCACTGGGTTACTTGAGGGACCAACTGGCTGTGAAGACCAGAGAGGATTAAACAAGTTGGCCACTTGGTGAGTGAAAGAAATGTTTGAGAGAAAATGAGAAAGAGCCACAAGTGGAATGAGTTTGGCACATGGGATACTATCTTTTTTTTCATCCCACCCAAATCATCTGTGTATTAATGGATGACTATGATGAGCCAGGAGTCTTACTTTC